GAAAAAATAGTGCCATGCCTCCTTCCACTCTACCTTCAACCTATTTCAATAAGGTGTAATAATGTAGATGAACATCAGGGGGCAGCATGCAATTGCAATAAACAAAAATCAGTATATTTGAAACTCAGACCAGAAGATGTAAAAAAGGTCTAGTTGAAAGTGAAATGTGTCCCTTTAATAGTGTCTTGTAGTATTTGTCCATAGGAGGGAGGTGTTGAGGGATATGGCTTCTGGCGGGACGCTGCATCATCCCTCAAATTCTCTCTCCATATGCCTGCCTTAGGAGGGCTTGCCACCAGTTCCTAACATCCTGTTCATTTACACACCTGTTCTCATAGAACACTTCCTTTTTCTGTAAGAAGGTTCTTCTGATGAGCGGCTCTGATGGGAGGCATTTGGAAGCCTTCCTTGGTAAGTGTTGCCTTACCAAAGTGCTTTAACACAGCATCTGGTCTCTGGGAGGTATCAGAGTGCTTCAAGCCCCGGGCTTCCCTGAGCTAGATGTGTACCTGCCTTCAGGCGAGTCCCTTAGGATGGGGAGCATGTCCCTTCTTCTTTGTGGCCCAGCAGTTTGAGATGCCTGGTGTGCCCTAGTGAAGCTAGATGGTGTCTGCTGGCCTAAACCGCTCCGTGAGCTGAAATGGGGAAAGGAGGGAAAATCATGACCCTTTTGGGTATAAACAGTGGGACTCTACAGTTAGAACCCCCTAGTGTGAATTGTCTTTCGTTATTTTTTATGAGTTGTTCACATTCATAATGGGTACACAAGCAAAACGAGTATTTGAAATACCCACAATCCTATGCAGTCCCTATTAACCGGGGGAATAGCACAGATTCTTTCCACCCCATGTCAGAGTATAACACATACATATGTGTGCGTATATACGATGTTTTACATTTATGGCAACACGGAACATAGTATTCCACTGTACGATGATACTATATTTAACCAATCCCTTTCTACTGGGAATTTAGGCTGTTTTAAAATTTTTGCTCTTTACAGAGCAGTCTGGTAAATATCCTTGTAGCTAAGTCTTAGCTCACATTCTTTAAGAGTGCCTTAGGATAAATTCCCAGAGGCAGAATTTCTCAGTGATGGGTAATTTACATTGTCACCAACAGTGACAGTGCCCTTGATCAGATGAAAAGTTTTAATTAAACATCACACCAGACTCTATAATTGTGTCTTAGTACTGACATCCTGCTCACAACATTTGGTGAACTCTGTGTTTGGTGATCCAGGCTGAGTCACATGAGAAAATAAATCTTAATCTCCCATCTTGCCTTTGATCTTTGTTCAGGAAAATCTAATTTACTACAAAAGCGTAAAAAAAGCAACCATGGAAGATACTCATATAAATGTGCCACAAGCATCAGGGGTAGACAGGAAGTCCTGTATGTCCTGGAGAAGTGCACGTCAGAGAAGTGTGAGGTGTTCCACAGCGCAGCTCCCATGGGATGGGTCCTGACAGAACTGTTAAAAATAAGCAGCCCACCTGCACCTTGCTTTCCAGGTGCATGGCTCTAGATTGCTTTACAGTTTCAAGGGTTTTCTTTTTTCTTTTGTCTGTCATTTCTTAGGCTGTTTGGAAATTAGAATGGAACTTCCCCATCAGTAGAGGACACCTTGTGGGTGACAACAAGAACTCCTCTTTCTGTCTTTCTTTCAAAATAGAAACAAAAGCACAATATGTACGTATATGTAAATGTCACATTTGTATGATTACTGAGTTTATTAAAATAAAGACTTTTAAAAATTATAAGATAGTACTTTACTAACTATATTTCTTTCTTAAAATAGACTATATTAACTCCTTAATAAAGAGTTGAGAAACAAAAAGCTTAAAAATGTGCATTATTTTCCATGAAAAAAAGGAACTAATGTTTGCCTAAGAAGGGTATTGATAGTAAACCATGTGCTTTTTGATCTCTAAATAACAAACCCCATTTGGCAAAAGACAAATTTATGCACTAGAAATGCTTCTTTTTTTTGTAGCAGGAATCGAACTCACAACCTCACTCTTGCTAGACAGGGCTATATTCCCAGCCCTAGAAATGCTTTTAGAGAGTAAGGTTTAACTCTGATCCAGAATTATGATTAAAATAATTATTAAAATACCATCAATTCTACCATAATGTATAGAAATGATTTAGCTTTCCTCCTCTTTTCCTAAAAAAACAAGTTGCTAATCATACCTGGCTGAGCCAAAGCAGTGAGATCTACTTTCTTATTAACTCTCACAGAGAAGCCTGCTTAGCTTGCATTTCAAGTTGTCTTCAGTAAACTCTGTTTTCTCGCAATGGCTGTGTTACCCTGATGAGTTCTCTGTAACGAAAACATGTTGGGAAATCTACTGCGGTATCTTGTTTCTCCATTTTCCTCTGGGGGCACCCGGCCAATGGGAGCCTCACAGGTGCAGGCAGTTGGAGACCTGTGAGCGACGGAGCTGCAGGGAGCAGTAGGGCTTAGCATTGCAGCCTAGCTGAGAATAGCCATTTCTGGTTCTTCCGGCTTCTTCCCTTGAGACTTGCCCTGGCTTTTCCTTTTTGTCCCTTTCCTTGTTGCCACGGCACTGGAGCCCCATGGGACAGGATGCTGCCTGCTGCCACCTGCTCTGCAACATCTGCGGTACCTTCACCGCCCAGATCTCCCTTTTGTTTAGGTCTTAAAGATCAGCGCACACAAAGAACCAAACATTTAAAATTGTGTGTACTGTGATTTCATCATGGAAAAGCTTAGGATTTTTATAGTGAGGTGTTTAGGAGTGGCTGCTGATGGCTGGAGGTAAGAGTAGAGGACTGCACTGTTGCTTTGGGGAGACTTGGCGGGGAGGCAAACACTACCTCAGGCCACCGCTGCCTCAGGCCACCGCTCGGTGCCATGTTAGGGCATTGCATAGATATCCTCAGTAGCTTTTAGTGGTTTACCAAATAAAGCTTTGGGCTGATATTCAAGGTACTCTAGAGTAGGACCTGACCCTGAATATTCCAGCCTTAACATCTCTGGCACAAAACAGATCTGCATGGATGCTACACATTCTCTTGGTTTAGCCCTTCTCTGAGCACTGCTACAGCAGCCAGCTTTGCATAGGCGCAGCCTGACAGCGCTGGCTTTGGCTGCACTGAGAACTGCTCCCTTTCTTCCTGCTGTCTTCTTGCCCGTAGTGAGGATCACAGATATTCTCACCTCCTGGTGGCTTTTGGGGCATGCAAGGGACTCATCATGCCATGGGAACTGGATGGTATAGGCCTTCTGTATCTTGGGGTGGCAACTCTCAGTCCCTCTGCACAACTCCCCCAAAGTCCTTAGCATGATCTAGTCCCAGTTGCCCGTGGTAGGGACCAGTTGCTGTCACTCCCTTATGTAGCTTCCTCTCTTTGCTTGTCCCCTGCCCTAGTCCTGCACTTCTACTGCCTGGGGTTACTTCCCAAAGAAATTTCATCTGCTTCTTCTGGGAAAACCACAGGTATTTATTTGCATTTTGTGTTCTATTACAGAAGATCACAGGGTAATTTATAAGAAAAGAAATTTATTTCTAGGCCACTGTTTCTTTTTTTTTTTTTTTTTTTTGGTTTTTCTCTGGTACCGGGAACCGAACTCACGACCTTGCGCTTGTCAGGCAGGCACTTTGCCATTGAGCTAAATCCCCAGCCCAAGAAATTTATTTCTGATATTTATGGGGGTTGAAGGTTCAGTGTCTAGACATTTGTGAGGCTATGAAGGTGCCTGTGTCTAGAAGGAGCCTTCTGGCTGTGTCATTCTGAGATAGGGAGGTCGGGCGTGGCAAAGCAGGTTGGGGGAATAAGCATGACCCAGATCCCAGGGCACAGGAGCAAAATAATTCTCAGTCCTGTACGAAGACTTGTGAGAACTCTCAATGTGAGGAATGGACAGAAGAGACAAGACGCCGTTCCGCACTTGCTGTCACGTCCCTTCGGGGCAGCTGCTGTGCACCCCAGGTTATACTTTTGTTTTAAATTTTTATTTTTCCTCTCTTTTACTTGGCCCAGGTTTGCTCTGCAGAGCCTGCGACTTCATTTTCAATTTTTCCTTCCTCAAATAAATGTAAAACTTTGCCACTGTTTTTGCTCGTTTCATTCAGTTCTTTGAGATGGAAAGAACACGGAAAGCACGTCCAGGAGACCCTGCCACTCCAAAGCCATGGCAGGAGGCAGGAGGCAGAGGGGAGGAGGACAACGGAGTAAATGGAGTTGGGGAGGGACAGGGGCTGAGCTTACAGTTTTATGTGGAACTACTCTGGTAGTAATGGCATTAATCTATTCCCACAGCAGTGGCATTAACCCATTGGAGAGGGCAGAGCCCTCAGGGCGCACTCACCTCATGAGGGAGCCCGCTCTCAACAGGGTTGCACTGGCGATTAAGTTTCTAGTGCATGAACTTTGGGGAACACACTCACGTTACAGCACTGTTCATCTGTGCGCCCTTTTAATGCCTACTTGGGGAACATCGAGTATGTTACCGGTCTGTGCAAGTCACTAAAATATAAGCGGGAATCAGACACAGGCTTTGCTCTTGAAAAAATTGTGGTTTAAGAGAGCAGAGAGATGACCAAGTGGCTGCATAAGGGGTGAATTCTGTTCCAGAGAACCAGCGCAGGGGACAGGGCCAGTGACCCAGCTTGGGGAGTCTGGGAGGTCATCTTAGGGGTGTCCTTCACAGGATGAGTATGCAGAGGTCGGCAGGAAGAAGGCAGGAATGACGTGCTCTGAGAGGACGTCTGGGCAGACTCGGTCATGACAGTGCAGTTTGAGAGCTGTGGGGCCTCTGGGGGCTGGAGTGGAGGCAGCCTGACGCAGGTACTCACAGGAAAGTCTGTCAAAGCCTGATGCTGTAACTCCACCACGCTGGCCCATGAAGTGATAGTTACTGCAGACGGGTGATGTGTACGTGGAGAGTTATTATACTTACCTTGTATGTACTTGTGTTTATTTGAACTTTCCATAATAAAACGTTTTTTAAAATGACATTAAAAACCCAGGTGCCTGCTGAGCCGCTCTTTCCGTGGCGCTAGTCTGGTCTGTACCGAATGAGGTGGCCCTCGCATCCAGGCTATCGCCGCTGACCAGAGCCGATGCCTCCAGGAATAGATTTGGGACAGGTCTGAGTCTGCTGCTGGGAAACTGGTGCTGCCTCACCCATCCTCGTGGTAATCTGTAAGGACTGTTTGTGGTGTTTCTTGCTCTTGGGGATAGCGGGCATGAAGAGTTTCCAGAACAATCAGGAGGGGCCGGAGGGTTCACCCTCACCCTGCAGGAGATGCCGCCCTCGCCAGGAGCGGGCTGTGTAATGTCCTGCTGGTGCATACTTTTGTTTTCTTTGCCATGAAACAACTCTCCAGTGGGCCTGTGGGTGTCTTTCCATTGCTCTCACGGTGGGTACCATGCAGCTGGGGGACAGCCCGGCGATCCCATTCTAGGTCACTGCACGGAGCAAGCAGCCGCTGGCGGAAGTTAAAAATTGGAGGACACAGGAAGGCTGCAGGCAGAGGCAGTGAGGATAAGAGGAGGGCAGGGAGAAGCAGGGACTGGTGTCAGAAGCAGAGAGGGTGGCTGAGTCACAGTGACACAGGGGCACCAGGAGCGGGGAGACTGAGGCTTGGGGTCCTCCGTGGGGCCGAGAGGAGCTTTCCGTTTTGACTGCATTCCGGACTTGCCACACCTTCTGGTGCGGTTGCTTTTATGCTCTCAGAAAGCAAAAATAGGACACGCTTCCTATTCCCACACACCTCCTGACTCAGGGCAGCGTCAGGAGATGCACCGCCTGGGTTCACCACTATCCTGTGAACATGGGCAAGTGATTGCCCGCACCGTGACTCAGTTCCCTCATTTGTAAATCATGCTGATGCTGGTGTCTCCTTCACAGGGTCGATGTAATGACTGAATGAGAGCGGATATAAACTGGGGAGAACACGGCACAGCTGACATACTCTTTCGGCAGCGGCAGTCTGTCTGGACAGGACATGAAATACGGGCAACTGAAGAGACCCTTTGCAAAGGTGTGAGTCTGCCACAGCGCACCCACAAAGGATGACAGGTGCCCTGGCTATCATGCCCAGGCCTCATGCGGTGAGGATGGAACAGTCACCAGAAACAGCTGCCTTGGAGAGGGACAGGAACCGTGGGGCTCTGTCCAGTGCAGCAGGCCAGGCTGGTGCGCCGCAGGGGCTGTGTATCCGCAAGCCTTCTCTTCTCTCTTGCTCTGGTCCCCTGTTCTGATCCCAAATGTCAGTCGACTTGGAGGCCAAATATTCAGATGTCAAAGGGCAAGGAAGTTGGGTAGACACGAACACAGAGGGCAGACAAGGGTGCCCGTCCAGCACACATGTTGGCTGGTGTTGCCTCGATGGTTGTTCTTATAACAGCCTGAGGACGGGAGTCTTCATTGCTTGCAAAGAAAACACCAACAGCCCAGCAATGGGAGAAACAGAAGAGCAATGGGAGACCACGCAGGTGAGCCTGAGGGGCCAGGCGGATCCCAGGCACTCATGACTGTCGGCTGGCGCCCGCTCTTCTCCTGCATTAGCCTGGGAAATCACCTTCAGGGGCGACAGACCTTTCCTCTTTGTGTCATGAGTGCTGAGCAGGACCAGGGCCACAGCACTGCAGGAACCTCTGACAGACACCAGGAACTTAGAGAACAGCTACTACAGTGGACAGGAGCAAGAGAAGGGAAAACCTGAGTGGGGAGGGATTTACCCTCACACGTGTCGGTAAGAGGACACGGAAGGTATGGCCTGGTTCGGGTCGAGGAGGAGCCGGGGCCCCTCCTCAAAGCTCCTCTTTCCCTACCCTCCGTTTATGCCACGTCCCGGCCTCCCAGATCTCGCCGATCGATAGCAGCTTCAGGAATAGCATTCTGTGTTACTGACAAGAACACTGAGGTTAAACATTCGCAAAGGGAGTGTCAGTGATTAGCAGGTCTGAATTTGAGTCCAGCTAGTGTTTGCAAAGCCCGAGATGTCTATCATCAAGTTAGCATTTCCCAGTCCGGTCATTGCAGTCTACTTCTGGAATTGTTCCACTTGTGTTACCTCCTGTATTATTATTTACTTAATATTTTCTTGAACTGTTATAAAAGGAGGACCAGAATCACCTACCAAAAACAGCAGGATAAAGAGCATATGCCAGGAGCCAGGGATATAGCTCAGCGGCACAAGTGCCTGCCTGGCAAGTGCCAGGTCCTGAGTTTGATTCACGGTACCAAAAAAAGAAAAAGAGCATAAGCCAGGTCTGCACCCTGGCTCACGCTAAGTTCCAGAGTAGAATGATTCTGAAATAACTTCATCACTTCCTTGTTTGGCTGGCCTGGGAGGCATCTGTCCGTCCGTCTGTCTGGGCTCTGAGACCTGTGTGACTGGATTTGTAAATGAACAGTGGCCGCAGGTATGTTGTAAATGTTTCAACAGGCTGTGAAAATATGTAGATGGGACAAACCACTCTGAAATAATCAGCAAGTTATAAGAGAATACATGCTAGTTTTTATTGTAAATTTCATACAGCCAGTTGGTTTCCTCAGAACGTTTTCATTGCTTTTTGCTGAACTGATACATCTGTCGCCGACCAGTGCTTGAAATTGGCAAATGAGCATAGCTATGACACAAACGGTTGGTTGATACTAGTAAGATGAAGACGAAGCTGCTTTAACTTTAGATGTTTGTAGGAATTTCCCTGGTTTATCAATGACACATCATTTTTACTGAATTAGGTAACAATTTTTGTGTCCTGGGAAGATATTTCTTCAGTTTTTTTGTTCTGTGTGCAATGTATGATTCCAAGTCTGACCAACTTTAACGTTAAAGCGCTATTATTATTAACATTTTTGCCTTCATTTTTTGAAGTCTAGACAACACGACCAATAATAAAAGTAAGAAATCAAACCCCAGTTTGTAGCATTTGCCCTTTCCTATGACTTAAATACTACTGCCACGGTCTCTATCCAGCCACCAATGTCACAGCGCTGAATCCAGAGCCGAGAGGACGTGAGCACAAGCACACCTTCTGCAGCATTTTCAGCATGAGATACGATAGATGTGAGCAGTTCTAGGAATCCAGACAGTAGCAAAACATAGCAACGTAGTTGGGAACGGGTGACTCTGTACTACTTTTGTTTTTGATAATTTTCATAATTTAATTTTCAATAACAGCTGTGCTTATCAACTGGCTCTCGAGATTCCTGTATATTCGACTTGTGGGTGCGCACCAGCTCTGGCTCACCATGGATTTGACCCTCATCTTCAAGCCGCTCGGGCTGCGTAGGTCCTCCTCGCAGAGCCGACGTCCAGAACAATTGCTGCTCCTCTCAGATGTGCACACGTCATTGCTTTGCTTCAAGAAAGCGCCGCATTTATGTCTTCACCTCCTACTTTTCTAAATCTACCTTCTCCTTCTTTCCTTTGTACTGACTGCTCCTGGGCATCCCTGAGTATACCATCCATGCCCCCCTCAGGACATTTGCACTTGCTATTTCTCCTGTTAGAGCTCAAAGACCTTCTCAGGTCTCAGAGCCCAAATCCTTTCCTCCAAATATCTACATGATTCATTCTCTTACCCTCCTCCTGTCTTTGCTCAAATGTCACCTTCTCACTGAGACACCCTGTTATAGTTGCAGGCCTGCTTTCCTCTACTCCCCTTCTGACCATCCTTCTTCCCTGCTTTACTTTTCTCCATAGCATTATCTTTACCATTATGTACTACACAGTGTAAATCTTTCCTTATATGATTTTATTGCCATTTCCCTCTATGGGAATGTAAATGACATAAAAGCTAGACTTTTTTTTAATATGTTTTTCTTGATCTGCTATCTATAGAATAGTGCACACCATAGATTATATTGAATAGTGGATTCCAGTAAATATATACTGAATACACAGAAGAATAAGTGGATGTTGCTTCAAGTCCTGAAGGCACCAGGTTACTAGTGCCAGATTTATTTCCATATAGTTAATAGTTTTAGTAAAATATAATTCATATACCATACAACTCATCCATTGGAAGTGTACAATTCGATAGTTTTTAGTATATTCAGAATTATGCAGTCATCACTAATATCAGAATTAGAACATTTTCTTTTTTTGGTACCGGGAATCAAACTCAGGACTTCATGCTTACTAGGCAGGTGCTGTACCACTGAGCTAAATCCCTGCCCTCAATTTTCTTTTCTTTCCATTTTCTTTTTCTTTCTTTCTTTCTTTCTTTTTTTTTTTCTTTTTTTTTTTTTTTT